ATACATGTATCTGAAAAAGTGTAATAGATTTGAAAAGTATGAACATCGACTAGCTTCCTTGTACAGCTGTTTATGACAATGTCAGTGCATTCATTTTGGTGATGTTGGCCAACCTAATAATTTCAAATTATGATTTGTAAGCAAAGTCTAAATGAGCTCTCCCTGACAGCTAGTGATGAGCTGGGGGTTGGGGGGAAAAGGCTTCAGGACCAGATTGTATTTACATTCACACCTAATCTACCTAGGTATCCAGCAAACAGAGCTGTGTTGCCCAAGTGATAGATTTTGGCTGGGGTTGGGTTACAAATCACTTGAATGCGGGGGGGTGTGGGGGGAAGGTAACGAAATGTTGTTATTCTTATTGTACGAGTAAAGGACAGCAGAACTGTACTTAGCCTGTGCTGATGGAGGGCATCGAGAGAGAGAGAGAGAGAGAGAGAGAGGGTGGGGACAGGTGTTTTGCTTGATGGTCTGCCTGAGTCACAAGTACTATTAGACCTGCCCCTCTCCACTGTTTAAAGACAGAGTGGTTAGGCTCCATAGATAGTCTTTGTTTTATTAAGTGATCACTACAGCTGAAATCACTGATGATCAGGTCTAAGTGCTTAGACCTCCTGTGGGACAGTGTTTCTGTGGAAGAGACGGCCCAGTCTGCACTAGCAGCGAGGTTCCCGCACTGAGAGCTCAGCTAAAATCACTGAGAGCTGGTGGTACCTTAAGAGACCAACTCGCAGAGGTCACAGTGGCAGGTGGCAGCAGAAGGTGGCAGCGCAGGGCCATTGGCAACAGAGCGATGGAGTGAACGGTGGCACAACGAACAACAGTGGCCAGAGTGAACAGTGAGCAGCTGGAGGAACGAGCAAGGTGCCTTCTTGCCCCCTACCTGGGAGATGAACTCATGCGAAAGCACCTCTGAACTCTGAGTCTCCACTGACCAAGGACAACACCGGTGAGTGTTAATGAGGCTGTTAAGAATGTTGGAGACACAACACAGTTCATGTGAACAAACATGGCCGTGGCATCGTACTTTCTATTTAAGCAAGAGATACCGCACACTGCAAACTGGAGGCCAATGTTAAGTGCATTGTCACTTGTTCATCCTGAAGTTGAACACTGGTTCCGAACAAGACCAGCAAATGCTCACTATCTTTCTGCAAGAAACTCAACTGACTGGCTAGACACATGTAGTGCAACAGTGAAAGACTCAACAGTTGAAAAAGTCAAAAACTCCCACCACATTCAAAAAATTTGCGTACATGACTGATGAATGCACCAATGCAAATGGTCATCAAGTATTAGGTCATTGTGTACGTTATCTTGATGTCAGTGGTAGGCCAGTACATGCATTTCTAGATGTTCAAGTCACAGAAGACAGATTGGCTGCATCTGTGACAACCCACATCTTAGAAGAGTTAAATGCTTGTCAGTTGGACCCCAAACAGAGGGCTGCTTGTGCATTTGATGGAGCTGCAAACTTCTCTGGAAGACATGATGGAGCACAGTCTTTACTCAGCGAAAAGCGTAACCCTAATCTCTCCTATACACGCTGCAGAAGCCATCTACTCCAACTAGCGCTAGTATGAGCTGCAGACTCTTCAAAAGACATTAAAAAGCTATACATTTAATGTCTTCATTATATTCTTTTTTCAGCAAGAGTCCAAAAAGACTGAATATCTTGGAAAATATAGAAGATACACTGGGACTGAAGTTCAAATTAGTCCAACCTGGGAAAACCCTCTAGCTTTCTCATGAGTGATCCTTGGCTGTTGTCTTAAAATTACTCCAGCCATTATTACTGGCTTTGGAAAGTATCTACCAAGATGGGATGGATCTAAGTAGTGAGGCTGGTGGATTACTTTTGCTACTACGTTCAGAGAAGACTATTGCCATTCTCTCTCTTGTAAGTCTACTGTTGAAACCACTTGGGTCATTAAACAATGCCATCCAGGCATCTGCTACAACAGTAGTAGATCTTTGTCCAGAAATAGAAGCTACATTTGGATCAATCAGAGAGCTATCCATTGAAAAAGTACTGGAAGACGCAAAGATTTCAGTCCAGAAGTTGACTAATGAAGGCATTTATACTGAATCCTTACGTGAAGTGGACAAGAAGTCTTTGTTAAGACAACTGAAAAAGTACACACTTGAGTCTTAAAAACCTACAACAGCGACTTCTAGATTCTACTCAACCTCTATGTAGCTTTTACAGATCCCTGTCCTATAAAACAGCAACAGTTGAGTGGAGTGAGGCACTACCAGCAATGAGGCTGCCATGGGATCAGGACAGAATAGAGAATTTGAACACAGAGTGGAATATCCTACAACAAATGAATGAATGAAGATTTGACTTCAACTTCTTTTTTATCGTCACTAGTGGCTTGAATGGATCTTTGTGTTTATGTTTCCTGGGCTGAAAGAAGTAGGAATTCATCTCTTGCTACTCCCAGTCACAACAGCTACAGTTGAGTGTTCTTTTTCATCATTGAATAGAATTTTGCATTTTGAAAGAAGTCGCCTTCTGCCTGATCATGTGAATGAACTAATGAGCATATCAATTGAAGGAATGGAAGTACTGGACATACAAGAAGCCACCAAAGATGAACGCATTGCATTCAAGAAGTTCGTTAACAGAGTTGTGCAAAATTATAACAAGAAACCAAGAAGGATGTAGATGTAGTGCTTCATAGAAGGCTTGAGTAGCCAACTTTAATTCGTGTGATGATTTTAAAATCAAATAAAATGGTCATGAAACATTTTTCAGTTTTTACTATGGTCCCATACAGCCCACCTTCACCCTCACGGTCTCACCCCTCATCGGCCCTGACCCCCACGCCCTGCTGTAAATTTGAACTCCCCGCTAATCTCAATTCCTGGGGAAAACACTGTTGCGAAAGCACCTGCTGTAGAGATGGGGAGCGAGGCTGGGCAGGGAGCCCTCCCCAAGGGAGCCAGTACTGTGCTTCAGATTACTCTGCCCAGACTCCATCATGGCTGGTGGCACCAGAGACCCTGATCCAAGCAGCAAAGCCAGCCCACAGGCAGGGATGCTGGCGTGGAAATAGGAAGCCCAAACACGGACGGCAGTGAGTTACTTCTGGAAGCACCCCCTTCAGTCCCCCATGAGGCCAAGGGGTGCAACAGACCATGTGCTGGCCACTCTGCCCTGGGCTGCATGCAAGGGAGGGAACTGAGCACTTCAGAGATGTGCTGTTAAAATACCACAGCCAGCTGTCATAAGAGTGGGTCAGACCAATGGTCCATCCAGCCCAGTGCCCTGTCTTCTGACAGTGCCCCATGCCAGGTCCCCCAGAGGAAATGAACAGAACAGGTAATTATCAAGTGATCCATCCCCTGTTGCCCATTCCCAGCATCCGGCAGTCACCCAGCACATGGTTTTGCATCCCTGACCATCTAGGCTAATAGCCATTGATGGACCTAGCCTCTGTGAACTTACTGAGTTCTTTTTTGAATTCAGTAATAGTTTTCGCAAAAAGAAAAGGAGGACTTGTGGCACCTTAGAGACTAACAAATTTATTTGAGCATTAGTCTCTAAGGTGCCACAAGTCCTCCTTTTTGCGAATACAGACTAACACGGCTGCTACTCTGAAACCAGTAATAGTTTTGGCTTTCACAACATACTCTAGCAAGGAGTTCCACAGGGTGACTGTGCGCTGGGTGAAGAAGTACTTCCTTTTTTTGTTTTAACCCTGCTGCCTATTAATTTTACTGGGTGACCCCTGGTTTGTGTGTCATGTGAAGGGGTAAATAACACTTCCTCATGCACTTTCTCCACCCCATTCATGGAGTGCGTGTTGCGTGTGATTGGTCCAGTCACAAGGGAACTCAGCAAGCCCCCTAAGCAGGCAGATCCAGAGAGCTGTTTTAGCCCTGGCTGTCTTGTCGGAGGCGCTGCCCGGACCCCAACGTCGTTAGAGTGGAAATAAGGGGTACATTTTTAACAGTGAGAATAATTAATCATCGGAACAACTTACCAAGGGGTGTGGTGGATTCTCCATCACTGACAACTTTTCAATCACGACTGGATGTTTTTCTAAAAGCCACCTGGCATGGCCCCCTCTCCACCCAGCACAGGGCTGAGCTCACTGCCCCTCAGGATGGCTAAAGCTGGGGTGGGTGGAGGGGGCCGTTATAACTGAAAGGCCCGAGGAAGGCGGGGGAGGGATGCCAGGGATGGTTAAAAAAGCTGTCTGTGTGTGCACATCCATGTGTCTATGTGTGTGTGTGCATGCGTGTCCGTGCGTGTCTCCATGTGGAACTGCGTGTCAATAACAACAATACACGCTCATTCATTCGTGCCTCCTGCTTTACTGAGTGTGTCATTCTCTGATCCCTCCCTACTCTTTACACCCATACCTCCATCTGTTCTGGGGCTTCCTTCACTCCCCAGAGCAGCAGCGTTCCCAACCTAGGATGCAGTGTCCCGGGGGGTGTGCATGTGTGTAACAAAGTGGGAATGTTCTTAATGTCTTCTCTGAATACTGTGTGCGTGCCTCAGTTTCCCCTATGTGTTACTCAAGTGTTTAGGTGGTGGGATGAGAGTATGTGATCATTGCAGAGGCAGGTGTGACTGCTGGCTTGCCAGAGGTGCTAGGTGCCGCTGGCGGTATCTGTGCAGAAAGGCCCATCCTGCAGGCATGAAGCAGCAACTGTCCTGGGAGCTCACTGAGCCACGTGCTGACAGCACTGCTCTCACGTGTCTCCACACACCCAGCCACTTGGAGACAGCGCCACCCTGGGGACAGCTGCCAGCAAAGGGCAAGGACAACGTCACGGGAAAGGGAAACAACTGCCTCGCTTCCCCTCCCCTCCCGCAGCCCTCAGCCTGCTGCCTCCCCGCACAGGGGACGGATGCAGCCTGGTACACACAGCAGCAGCCTGGCCAGCCACTGGTCCTGCAGCCTCCCACCCCTGCCCGTGCCCTGCCCCAGCACTTCCAGTGGGGGAAGGCCCTGCCCGATGGCCTGGCCAAGCACACTCACTTGAGGGAGAGAGAGAAGTCGTTCTTGCTGGTCTCGCTGTTGCGCACCAGGTAGCTGGCCTCCTTGCACAGCCTCAGCAGGGTCTCAGCGTCCGTCCGGCTGATTGCCCCATGGTACCAGCTGTCAGGGGAGACAGAGGCTGGCTCAGGGGCACTGCCTGGGCATGGAGCACCAAGCGGCAATGTCTATCCAGAGAGGAGCGAGCAGGAGGCATCAGCCAGCAGTGATGGCAGGCGAGCCAAAGCCACAGCAAGCAGCAGGAACAATTTGCTGCAGAACACTGTGGTTCTCTGCGTGGAACTTGCAGCAGCCATGTCAGTGAGTGTCCTGGTGGCTTCTCAAGCATGCTGATGCCCAGGCCCCGTGTAGTGAGCTGCGCAAAGGAGAGGAGAGCTGGGGGGCAGCGGACTGGGAAAGGCTAGGGAGAGTGCTGCAGAGCTCCAGGAAGGATGGATGGGTGGCTGGCAGTAGGATTCTCTTGACTCACAACAGGCTGAGGGAGGCAGAAGGGAAGGACGCATGGAAGGGGACAGGCTGTGAAGAGGGGTGAAGGAGACTGCTGGGGTTCCCAGAAATAGAGAAGAACATGGAGTGGGGCTGGGCGTGAAAGGAAGTGAAGGGACTATGGAAAGACATTGGAGGGGAAGCAGGGCAGGGCAGTGGGACATAGGGGGGAAGCAGGGCAGGGCGGTGGGAAGTGGGGTAAGGCAGCGGGAGGTGGGGGGGACCAGGGCAGGACGGTGGGATGAGCCGGGGGAGCAGGGCAGGGCAGTGGGACGTAGAGGGGAAGCAGGGCAGGGCAGTGGGAAGCGGGATAAGGCAGCGGAAGGTGGGGGGAGCAGGGCAGGCCAGCGGGATGAGTGAGGGGAGCAGGGCAGGGCAGCGGGACAGAAGCAGGGCAGGGTGGCTGGACGTGGCGGGGGAGCAGGGCAGGGCGGCAGGATGCAGGGGGTGAGCGGGGCAGGGCGGCAGGAGTGCCAGCACGGTTGGGCAGCGGGGGGGAACAGGGCAGGGCTGGGGGAATGGGGCAGGAAGCAGGGCAGGACGGCGGGGGGGAGCATGGCAGGGCAGGAGCAGGGCAGAATGGTGGGGTGGAGTGGGGCAGTGCAGCGGGACACGGGGGGGAGCAGGGCAGGGCGGTGGGGAGGAAGCATGGCAGGATGGTGGGAGGAACAGGGCAGGTCAGCGGGACGCAGGGGGGGAAGCAGGGCAGAGCGTGGGATGCAGCAGGGGAGCAGGGCAGGGTGGCAGGATGCAGCGGGGGAGCAAAGCAGGGTTGTGGGCTGCAGGGGGGGAAAACAGGGCAGGGTGCTGGGATGCTGCGGGGGAAGCAAGGCAGGGCGGCAGGACGTGGTGGGGAGCATGGCAGGGTGGCGGGGGGAGCGGGGCAGGAAGGAAGCAGGGCAGGGCGGCTGGACACAGGGGGCAGGGGAGGTTATGGAGCATGGTGGAAGGGCACTGTTATGGTTCCCTTGTGCTCAGTCATGGTCCCATGGCCTGGGGCGCTTGGGGCAGTGTGATGGATTAATGGCCTGGCCAGTACCCAGAGGCCAGGCCCGCAGGATGAGCAGGGCTGGTTGGGGGGCTGGTGGCATCCCTGACAGGTACAGGACTCACCACTGGCTCTCCAGAGGCAGGGTGGGGTTGATCCTCTCCCCGAGGGCTGGGCTGGGCTCTGTCTTGGGGTTCCCACTCACGTGTCTGTTCGCAGTTCGGGCCTTCTCCTCCCTGCTGGGCGACGAGTGGCCGTGCCCTGGCCCCTCACAATGGCCTGGGAGAGACAGACGCAGTGTCAAGGGGCAGCTGGCAGGCACTGGGTACTGCTCCCCTCCCGCGTCCTGCTGCCCTGCCCAGCTTCCCCCCCATTGCGTCCCGCCACCCTGCCCTGCTTCCCCACAGCTGGGGCACTGAGCCAGCCTGCCAGTTCTGGCTCACAGGCCCCAGTGGGGACAGCGTTGCTGGGCGTCCCCTACACACCAAGTGCTGCACTGGGCCTGGGGGCACGAACCCCACACAGGCCTTGGGGCGCATGCATGCCAGTTCCCATGGAGATGTGCTGTGGAGGTAGGGTGACCAGACAGCAAATGTGAAAAATCGGGACAGGGGCTGGGGGGGTAATAGGCCCCTATATAAGACAAAGCCCCAAATATCGGGACTGTCCCTATAAAATCGGGACATCTGCTCCCCTTGTCTGGGGTGGAGGGACCTGCTGCCATTATCAGCCTCCCTGCAGGCACAGAGGAGACACAGACCCTGCACAGTGCACCACTGAGGGGGTGCAGTGCAGCTGTCCCCCGTGCCAGGCCAGGCGTGCCCTTGCTGTGGTTTCACACTGCGCCCACATCGCAGTTTGCACTGGAGCGAGGGAGTGAGCTCCCGCAGCCTGAGCGGCGCCGTGTCAGCACGTGGGCAGCATGGCACAGTGCGGCGCGCCAAGGAATATCGCTGCTGAGAGGCTGCTGTCTGAGGGGCATCGGCTCCACGCAGCCCAGCTCCAGCAGGCAGAGGGCAGGTGCAGCGTGGGGTGCAGGGGAACGCAGGCTGTTGAGCAGGGAGATCAGTGCTCGCGCTGCCTGGGCTGGGTGGTGAGCTCAAACCAGGGCTCAGAAGGCGGAAAGAGTGTGGCTGGCTCAGGAGAGGGGGCATGGGAGGGAGTGTGGCAGATGGATTGGGGCACAGAGGCAATATTTCCCAGGGTCCCACGAGGCCTCACTGGGGCGCCTGGCTGCGGTACACAGGAAATAGTCCCAATACAATCATTAAAACTCTCCAGTGCTCTTCAGGGAGGTTTCCTGCCCATTGCAAGGCCCACCCAAGTGGCAACAGGGCAACCTGGGCAGTCTGCAACTCACCCCCCTCAGAGCACAGGCTCCCTGGCCCTGGGCACAGACAGCAAGAACCAGGATCTGGGCCAGCGTCCCAACGTCGGAATCTCCCTGCCCAGTGCTGCCCACAACCCCAGGGGCTACGCATGAGCAGCGCTCTGCCCTCCCGGCCTCTTAACACGGTCACACCCAGAACAGCGCATCCTGGCTGAGCTCCATGCAGCCTCACTGGGACGCCCACCCAGCCCCACGGCCAGCTGAGCTCCACGCAGCCCCACGCCAGCTGAGCTCCACACAGCCCCACAGCAACACCCGCCTAGCCCACGGCCAGCTGAGCTCCACGCAGCCCCACAGCAACACCCGCCTAGCCCCACGCCAGCTGAGCTCCATGCAGCCCCACAGCAACACCCGCCTAGCCCCACGGCCAGCTGAGCTCCACGCAGCCCCACAGCAACACCCGCCTAGCCCCACGGCCAGCTGAGCTCCACGCAGCCCCACAGCAACACCCGCCTAGCCCCACGGCCAGCTGAGCTCCACGCAGCCCCACAGCAACACCCGCCTAGCCCCACGGCCAGCTGAGCTCCACGCAGCGCCCCGGCGACACCCGCCCAGCTGAGCTCCACGCAGCCCCATGGCAATGCCCACCAGGCCCCACAGAGAGGTCTGCCATGGGGCTTGTCTATATGGGACACTCAGGCAAGTGAGCGGCATTGCCTGGTGATGTGCAGTCAGGGCACAGTAACCCTGGGGGGTGCTCTCTGCCAGCAGTCGGCAGCCATAATTTGCTGTAGCATCCACACAGGGTTGAGGCGCGGTCACCGCACCAGAAGCTAATTTGCCCTCACACCCCTGAGTGTCCCATGCCGGGCTCTGACGAAGCCAGTGTGCAGAACAGACCTGTGGCCAGGGCTGGCGCAGCCCCCACAGCACAGAGCAGGGCATGGCGATGGCACAACACTGCAGGGATCTGCAGCTGCCAGAGCCATCAGCCCCCCACCCCGCAGCCTGAAATGTTCACTAGCTCCCTGCCTGGGACACACTGAGCCCCCCGTCACCCCCCTAAATGGAGAGGGGAGGGTAGCTCCATTTTATGGACACCCAGCCAGCCATAAAATCCCTGTTAGTGGCTGTTCTCTACTTGCTTTACCTGTAAAGGGTTAAAAAAGTCCATAGGTAAAAGGAAGGGAGTGGGCACCTGACCAAAAGAGCCAATGGGAAGGCCAGAACTTTTTAAAATTGGGAAAAAAACTTCCCCTTTGTCTGTTTTTCTCCAGAGAGAGGGGACAGAGCAGAGACAGGGCTGGAGCGATGCTGTAAAAAGCTGTGGGCCAGGTATGAAATCACCAGATCATACCTAGAAACTACTCATTTGAAACCCCAGGTATGTAAGTAGATCAGGAAATGTCTAGGAAGACGCAAATAGGTATATCTCTTTTATTTCTTTATGGCTTGTGGACTCCTCTGTGCTAACCCCAGGTGCTTCTGTTTTGCTTGTAACCTTTAAGCTGGACCTCAAGAGAGCTATCGTGATGCTTAATCCTTGTAATTGTTTTTTTAAAATCGAGCAAAAAGTCTAAGTTCCAAATGTATTTTCTTTCCTTTTTGTTTTAAATAAAATTTACATAACAGGTTTATGCATATGTTGTTTAATTAGCTGATGGCAACAGCTGATTTCCTTTGTTTTCTTTCTCAGCTCTTCCCCGGAGGGGGGTGAAAGGGCTTGAGGGTACCCCTCAGGAAGGAATTCCCAAGTGCGCCTTCCTGGGTTCTAAAAGGGTTTCTTTGCACTTGGGTGGTGGCAGCATCTACCCATCCAAGGTCAGAGAGAAGCTGTAACCTTGGGAGTTTAATACAAGGCTGGAGTGGCCAGTATTAATTTTTAGAATTCTTGCAGGCCCCCACCTCCTGCACTCGAAGTGCCAGAGTGGGGTATTGGCCTTGACAGCTTCCCCAGAACAGTTCAATTCCACAGCACCCTCCAGCTGTGCTCAGCCCCCATGGCTCATCCTCCCCACAGCCCCCTCCAGCCATACTTGCCCACACAGCCCCCTCGAGCCGTGCTCAGCCCCCATGGCTCATCCTCCCCACAGCCCCCTCCAGCCATACTCGCCCACACAGCCCCCTCGAGCCGTGCTCACCCCCCACAGTCCCCTCCAGCCACGCTCAACGCCACAGCTCACTGCCTCCATGAGCCATGCTTACCCCCCCACAGCCCCCTCCAGCTGCGTACACCCCCCCCATAGCTCCCTCCAACTGTGCTTACCCCCCACGGCTCATCCTCTCCACAGCCCCCTCCAGCCACACTCACCCCACACAGGCCCCTCGAGCCGTGCTCACCCCCCACAGCTCCCTCCAGCCACACTCAATGCCACAGCTCAGCCCCCACTCCCCGCGGCCTCGCTCACCCCCCCCCCCACATGCAACTTTGCCCTTCCCATAGCCATTCCAAATGCCCCCGCAAAGATCATTTCCCAGCCTGTCGTTTGACCCATCTTTGCATCCCTCCATGGGCTGCCCCTTCTCTATCGCATGAAAAATAAGCTACTGGTCTTCACTTTCAAGGCCCTGCACCACCTAAAGCTCTCATTCTCTAGCAAGATGTCAGCTCCTGCTTCCATGATGCCAGGCTTCATCGCACCACTTGTTACATTTTCACACAAGCCGCTTGGTGCCCCTCTTTCTTTGGAGTTTGTGATGGAATTGCACCCCCGTGTTCACAGCAATACAATGATCTTTGCACATGGTAGCATTTGAAAACTCATTTCCTGGTAACTATCACTCCAATAAAATGTGTGTGGCAACATTGTATGCGATGTTCTAAGATTCCCCAGTGTGATGTTCAAAACTCACGCAGCACCAAACTGGTCACGCAGGCCTGTCTTGGCCAGAGGAGTGTGTGTTTGCCTTAATTTGCATTTAAATAGAGTCACCAAGCAGGAAGGGAAAGCAAAGCAAGGCAAGCTCAAAACAGGTGAAAAAGAAACAGCAGGGAACATCCTTCCGACTCTGTCTCCTAGTGCCCAGCTGGAAATGTTTTTTCAAGAGAGGGACTGAATCTATTAAAAGATGGGGCAAACATCCGAAGAGACCCCTCCCACTCCCTGCCCATTGCATTCTCTGCACCTGAGAAGACAAAAGGAAACAGCCATTGGACTTGGAGGCGGGTGGTTTCTGACTTAAAGAGTTTGGTCGGTAACCTTGATGGAAGCATGTGGTGAGAAATTTTGCTTGAATTTAATATAGTTTGTTAAATTAGGGCCTAGGAAGCATTTTATCTTTATTTTTCTTGTACCACTTCTGATTGTTGTGCCTCATGACTTGTTCTCACTTAAAATCTCTCTTTGTAGTTAACAAACTTGTGTTACTGTTTTATCTAATCCAGTGTGTTTAAACTGAAGTATGTGGGTAACACTATTTAAAATAATAAACTGATATATTATTCCCTTAAAGGAATAACAGACTTGAAATATGTATACTGTCTAGCAGAGGGCTGGGCAATACAGGACATATATTTCTGGGGGGAAATCTGGGACTGGGGGTGGGGTGTGTTGTGCTGCAGTTACACACAGGCACTCAGGGTGTGGCTTGCACGCTGAAAGGCTGTTTGAGTGGCCCAGGTGGAAGCCACTTCAGCAAGGCACCCCAGGTTGCAGGGCAGGGGTGACACAGCCTCCCACTAGTCTGGCTGTCACAGAGTAGCTCCCCATAAACATCCCCCAAAGCTCCCTCATTATCCACCTTCAAATCCCTTCTGAAAACTCTCCTTTGCCGTATGCCTACAGAAAACTAAACAACAGCCAGGCCATGGTGTGCTGAGCTCACTGCCCTTTGTGCTGACCAATACAATCTCACTGTTTCTTTGTGCTCCCTCATTGGTCTGTTAGTATCCAAAGTAAGTGGGGGGAAATGGACAGCAATCCATATCAATTAGAAATCAGCAATGGCAGAAAATTAGTAATTGAAGCTAAGGGCATTAGGGAAAAATTCATGGCTGGCAGGGGTAAGGACAATAAGTTTTTAAACTATACTAGCAACAATGAAATCCTAGCATTGGTATGGGCCCATTGTTAGCTGGAGATGGGAACATTCTTTATAATGATGCAGAAAAGGCAGAAGCGTTCCACAAATATTGCTGCTCTCTCTCTTTGGAAAGAAGCAGAATCACCAAATACTTTCTAGTCCATTAGTAATCTAGGAGGATGTTAGATAATATCTACATAGTCCTGCCTTGAGTGCCAGGGACTAGACTAGAAGACCTCTTGAGGTCCCTTCCAGTGCAACGATTCTACTAGGGATAAACATTATTAAACTAGCAGGTCTGGATCACTTGAACCCCAGAGTTCCAAAAGAGCTGGCTGAGGGGATCTCTGGCCAGCTGATAATTTTTAATAAATTTTGGAATACTGGGGAAATTCCAGAAAACTAGAAGAGTGCTAATGTTCCAATATTCAAAAATGGCAAGCAGGATGAGCCAGGTAACTATGGGATGATTAATATTGCTGAATGAAAGTTATATATCAAAGAACAATGAGTGCAGGCCATGCCTACAGAATGGGGGACTATATCCTAGAAAGCAGTGATTCTGGAAAGGATTTAGGGATCGTAGTGGACAATAACTGAATGTGAGCTCCCAGTGTGATTCTGTGGCAAAAAGAGTGAATGAGATCCTGGGATGTATAAAGAGGGGAGTAGTAAGCATGAGTAGGGCAGTGATTTTTACCTCCATATGCAGCATTAGTCAGACAGACAGTGGAATACAGCATCCAGTTCTAGAGCCCACATCTGAAAAAGGACTTTGAAAAATGGGAGAAAAGAGCCACAAAAGGGATGGAGAAAATGCTGTTCGAGGAGAGACTTAAAGATCCCAATCTTCTTATCAAAAAGAAGATTGAGAGGTGACTTGATTACTGTGTATAAGTACCTTCCTGGGGAGAAAAGACTGGATATTCTGGCCCTAGAATCTAGCAGACAAAGGCAGAACAAGAACCAATAGCTGGAAGCTACGAGACCAATTCAAATCAGAAATCAGACACAGATTGCTAACAGGGAGGATGATTAGCCACTGGAACAAACCAGCACAGGAATGTTGGTGTCTCTAACTCTTGAGGTCTCTAGATCCGGACTGGGGCCTCTGGGAGATGCTTTAGCCCAACACAAGTTATGGGGTTCAATACAGGGGGAAATGTAATGGCTGGTGTTACACAGCAGGTCAGTCTAGCTATTGGATGGTCCCTTCTGGCCTTAAATGCTATGAATCCACAAATCCGTCATCTCCTGTCTTAGTCTGTAACTGTGCAGGATAGGGACCATCTTTTCCTACTTTCACAGCATCTCAGGGACCATTAGACTGTCGAGTCTGACCTGCTGTATAACACACAGAAAGTTACCCCTGTACTGAGCCCAAGAACTATAGTTAGATCGAAACATTTCAGCCCTCAGGAGACTCAACGGACGAAAGTTCATGCTCAAATAAATTGGTTAGTCTCTAAGGTGCCACAAGTACTCCTTTTCTTTTTGCAAATACAGACTAACACGGCTGTTCCTCTGAAACCAGGCAGAGAACAGGAGTGCTGAGGTGAAACAGTGCCTAAGACCCCTGCAATGGCATGAAATTGGTTAGGCGGGATATGCTCAGATGATACTACACCCCATGCAGCAGAGGAGAGCAAAACCCCTCCAAAGTCTCTTGCAATCTGACCTGGGGGGAAATTCCTTCCTGACCCTAATCTGATCACCCTGAGCATGTGAGCAAGACCCGCTATCTTCTAAGAAAGAAGATTCTCTGTGACACCTCAGAATGCTGGTCCACCCCATCCTGTGCCCCATCTCCAGCTGTGGCCAATCTCTGGTGCTTCAGAAGAAAGTGAAATAAAATCCAGAATACATGGAGCCAATTGTGCATGTGGGGAAAATATTCCTTCCTCACCCCTGGCAGCGACTGGTTGAAGCCCTGAAGCGTGAGACCGGGTTACAGAAAGTAGCACAACGAGGTCTTGGCCCGTGACTGGCACTAGGGCAACACAAATCAGAACGATAACTTTTCCCTGCCAGCACACTGCCACTTGTGTGTGTGTGGGGGGGGGTGGGGTGGGTGGGTACAGCAGCTGTTCTGCACCCACTGCCCCATGCAGCCCAAAGCCAGCTTTTTGCCTACTTTTCTGACAGCCCCACTGGGCATCAGAGAGGCAGGAATGAGCTTAGAGCCACCCCAGAGATTGGCCTGCTGGTGGATATTATTTCCTCACAGGATGATTCTTGCTTCCCTCTCCTCCTGAGGGTTCATTATCGTTACTCAGCAGCACAGCCCTGCTGCACAGGTGCCCTGCTGATCACCCAGCCATGGCAAGATTCCCCTTTGTGCTGTCCTGACACACTGGTCCTGGCAACCGCACCAGCGGTGCAGAGCCACAGGGAGTGGGACTGCTCACAGGATTAGCCTCCTCCACCACCACTCGGAGCGGGGTTTGGGAAGCCTGCTCCATCACTGCCATCCTCCAGCACAGCACGGCAGGTTCCCCACACCCCCCTGCAGGAACTAACCCCCACTTCCTGCCTTTCTGCTGGGGCATTGGACAAACACTGCCCCTGTCCACACTGCGTAGCGCGACCGGGGTTCACTCTGCACCAGCCCGGCTCATTCATGGCAGGGCCCTGCAGCCACGCTCAAGCTGCCCTAATCCATCTCCGCTGCCATGCCCTCTGGGTACCGACCCCATAGTTCCCAGCACAGCTACCAGAACAGTGCATTCTGGGGGATTCGGACAGTGCATTTTGAGGGAGCCCGGACAAGGCAGGTCCTGGCCTGGCTGATCGCACCATTCCCAAGGGACCAGCCCTGGCTGTGCTGCCGGCTCAGCCCGGAAGACAAGGTCGCCTCCCAGCAGGGCCAGTGAGTGTGGCCAGGAGGCAGGGCTTGGGGGAGTGGGTTTGTGGGAAGTCTGGGGGGGTGCTGGGCTGTGAAGGGGCAGGGAGGATCTGTGTGCATTGGGGCACTAGGGAATGGGGGTTCTGTGGGGTGCTGGGCAGTTGTGGTGGGGCTGTGGGCAGGGGTGGTGTTGTGCAGAGTGCTGTGCATTTGTGGGTGGAGCTGTGGGGTGCTCGGCATAGTGGATCCAGGGGGTCTCTGGCCATAGGGAGTCGGGGGGGTGTTGGGCGGGGGAGAGGGGGGCTGTGTGGTGTGGCAGGGCCTGCCCCAGAGGGGAAGTGGCATGCTGGCAGCACAGGGCTGGGCAGGCCACTGTGCATCTGGCAACTGCCAGTTTATAAATAGTGCCCTTGCACTGGGCAGAGCAGGGCCGCCCCTGCCATGCATGTCCCATTGCCTCTGGCTGGCCCCTTGCTCTGGGGACCTCCCCATGCCATGCTCCACTGCCTCCATGGGGGCCTACAAATATGCTTGGCACCGGGCCCACAAAAGATTAATCCGGCCCTGCTCTTGCTGGCACCATTAAGGACGTCCAGCGAGCCCCTATGCCAGGCAGCTGCTGCCGCTCAGCCCCTGAGAATGGGTGTGTGTTAGGGGAACCCACGCAGCTGCCCATGTGGGGCAGGGAGCCATGCGCTGCACTGGCTGGAGCTTCCCAGCAGCTCCCCAGGTTGTGGGAGCGTGTGGCCCTGGGCACAGTTGAGGGCGACTCACCGTTAGTGTCTTCGTGGTTGTGTTGGGGCTGGCTGGGGTGCGCAGGGGCATGGGCCTCGCCATCGGGGGGGCTTGTACCGCTGTCGAGCTGTCCCACAGGGGGAGGCCACGGCAAGTCTTTGATCACTTTGATCTCAACTGGACAGAAGCAGCGGAGGCGGGGGGGGGGGGAGAGAGAGAGAGAGAGAGAGAGAGCACGCGCACGTGAGCTGGCTGAAGCTGTCCCGGCACCCAGGGTCCAGAGGACGTAGGCAGGAAGTGGTGTGGGGAGAGCGGAGGATGGGGGGAGATGCTGAGTCCCCACGTGCCCAGCCCCACACTTGGTTTCCAGCTCCTCTCTGCAGGCTGGCACTCCCAGGCTGGTCAAGGCTGCAAACCAGCACCTGCCCTAGATGCCAGTGTGCAGGGCAGTGCCCAGATGGGGCAGGGTGAGAGGCACAAGGTGAGTCATGGGAAATACCTGGATCTTCCTGCTGCACCGTGGGGCCGGGGCCCAGGCAGTTGTTAGGGCAGCGCTACACACGAGAGGAGCTCTGCTGGGGGCACAGCCCTCAGCAAACAGCCCTGCTGCACCCACAGCCTGGCAGCAGCTGCCCCACTACAGACCAGCGCAGGGGGCTGCCTGGGCCAGGGAAGAGACAGGGACAGATCGTCAGCATCCCAGCACACCATACGTCTGGCTCTCGCAGCACTGTGGCCCCTGGGCGGGAGCGTCTGGCCACCCAGACTCAGTGCCCCCAGCTGTGCCCCCGCATCCACCCGGGCTCTTGCCAGAGAGCAGGGGACACCCAGACCTAAAGCCCATTCTGGAGAGCCCCAGCGCTGCACCCACCCCTCCCAATCACCCCGTCCTCGTTGGCAGGTGCTCTCCAGCTCCCCATGACAGCCTTGTGACCTCTCCCGGAGCTCTGCACAGACTCCCACAAGCCCACTCTCCTCCCACCTGGCTGGCACCCATCCACATTCCTACCATGCTCCCCCTCCTGGGGTCCTGCCCCCTCCACAGCTCAGTAGCTCCCAATTCTGCCAGCCCCTGAAGCACCCCTGTCTGCCCCTCCTGCCTGCAGCCCAGGCTGGTCCCTGGCTCCTAGCTGAGGGGAAAGGGGGGGCACCTGACTCCCTGGGCTCCCTCTCCTTGGCCTGTCCCGCTCAATTCCATCTCAGCACCTCTTGAATCCTACCTCAGAGCATGGCCATGTCCCCCTCTCCTCAATCTCCTGGCTGGTCTCCCTTTTTCCCAGGCTCTTCCTACCCGAGCACTCCCAGATGGCCAAGGGGGATTGTGCTGTGGTGCTCATGGCTGGTGCATGGCTGCTGCGGGCCAGCAGAGTGGGCAGCAGAATTCGCTGCACCCCAGGCCCAAATGGTGCCCCGCCTCCAGAGACAGCGCAGTGGCCCAGGAAATGGGGCCATGCCCGTGGGATGGCTCGGGGTTAGTGCCAAGCCCTCAGCTCCATGGGGGTGCAGAGCCTGGTGCTAAGGGAGTGAGCACGGAGCAAGCGTTATCACACACACCGAACTCAGCTGAGTGAGCAGAGCCCCGGGGGACTCTGCATAGCACGGGACCAATCCCCTCCTGCCACCCCAGGGTGCTGTTACAATGTGCCATGCCAGCCCCACATCACTCCTCCAGATAATCAGGGACAGCAGCAAGCCAGCCCATGCCCAGGAGGCCAGCCCCTGCACACCCTGGGCACAGGGGAAACCGCCCACCTCTTCTACTGACATCTCTGCAGGGGGCTTTCCTGGGGGGGGGGTACTGCTCCAGGACACTGGGGCTTGGGTGTACAGTCCTGGGCTGACAGGACTGCGGGGAGCGGTGGCGTGCACTCGCCCAGCCCCCTGGCTGCAGCTGACATGATGAGCAAGGGACATGGAGGCCACACCCAGCTCCACTGCCATGGCTGGCTGGTCGGGAGGGAGAGGCCCCATGTCCCCCACCCCGACGCAGTGCACAGGAAGAGGTGCTTGCAGGAAGTGCCTGACTTGGGGTGTGGGATTGGGCAGGACAGGCACTAGGTTATATCCTCAGTAGCAGGCCAGCCTTCCCCCTCCCCCTACTTGTGGGACTCAACCCCTGATGCCCCTCTTAACAATACCTATAAGAAAGCACCTGCCTGAGGAGTGAGATCCCGGCCTTGACCGCATGTTAACTGTGGTGCTTAACAATGGCCACTCAGACACTGCCTGTGGGATGCTTCATTGCTGGTCACATGCTGCCAGGATTGATTTATTAAGCACTAGTACCAGCTTGGTGAGGTTGGGCCCTGCCCCACGGACGCATGCTGCCTGATGGAAAGATGGCGAGACAGGGCTTTGAGACCACCCAGGCAGAGCTGGGAGGTAGAGCGGGAGCCCAGAGCTGTGACAGCAGAGGGCTGTGATTGCTGGGCACCAGCAGAGCAGATCCCCACCCCAAGCAGGAGCCAGGAGCTCCAGAGTAGGGCATGCAGCGAGGCACCTGTTCTGCCCCATGCTATGGGGAGTGGGAAGGGTGCAAGCCCAGTGCTAATGGGAGGGCGTTGCCCCAAGATCTGGACAAAGAATGGGTATCCACCAGGGAGACGGGCTGTGTGGACCCAGAGGGAAGGGGATGGGGTTCTCAGGCAAACCCAAGGAAGCTGGGGAGCCTCCAGCGAAGCCGAGGAATCAGGAATCAGTGAGGCTGGTGCTGAGCCCCAACCCTGGCTCATGCCCGATGCCACTGGCACCCTGCAGCAGAGAGGGGTGCCCAGGCCCAAGCAGCCTCAGTCCCCATCACTCACTCACATGCCCTGGCACAGCTGAGCTATTGCAATTAAACTGCAGCTAAGATAAGAGTCGGGCAATTAGCGAGCGCTGCTGGGGGAGCCAGGCGCTAATGTGCTGCATGGATTTCCCCATTAGCCAGCCCAAACGTGATCAATTCCCAGCAGGGAGATAAATGGTTGGGGGGAAGGGGGCTGGGACTCCCAAGCTGAAGGCCCAGAGACAGCCAAGGGCAGCAGCTCCAGGGCAGGGAAGCCCAGGAGGTGGAGCAGTGGAGGTCCTGTCCCTGGGGCAGGAGCACTATGCAGGGAAGAAGGGAACAATAACATGGCAGCCAGCAGGGCCCTAGGGATCTGCCATCCCCCCCGACCCCCAGCACCAGGGGCTGAAACTCTGGGGTCCACGATCAGCCAGGCAGAACAGGCAGGAGTTGGTTCCCAGGGAGGCGCAGAGCAGACGGGCAGCTTCACCGCAGAGACTGACAAAAAGTTTCCTTGCCAGGGCCCAAGTCCAGAATTCCCATGTGAGCGGCATGGGTGCCCATGCCCCACCGCTGGAGGGCTCAGAGCCACACCAGGAAGCCTGGACACTGAGTCAGGCAGCAGAAGGCAATGAGTGCGCATGTGAGCCCAGGGGCGGGGCAGGGCAGGGAAGGCTGGAACTGCCCCATGCCACACGGAAGGGGGGGCCACAGGGAGCCCCTAAGAATGGGGTTCCTGGAGCATGAGACCCAGGGGGGTACTGGCAATGTGAGGCCTTTCCAGGCTGACCCAGCAAGGCTGCCCCTGCCAGGCCAAAGCAGCTGAATGCTTTGCCAGGACTCTGCCCCTGCCACCCTCACCTGCAAAGGCCTTGGAGATGCGCTCCTTCTTCCACTCCCAGGGCTGGTCATACTCCTCGGGTGGGCGCTCATCGTCCTGGGGCAGCCGCGACTCCCTGGGCCGGGCACAGGATGGGCGCTCGCTGTCTGGGGGTAGCCCATTGGGCACCGGCTCATAAGGTGTGTCGTACAGGGGCAGCGGCTGGGCAGGGGCCTCGAGGGAGCCCTTCAGGCGGATCTCTGGCAGGAGGGAGAAGGGAGAACACCATGAGCTCTTTTCCAAATCCTGACCATGTCACTGAGCGGCTGAGCCCCCTGCCCCGCATGGCTCAAGGCTCCACCACGAGCTGCAGTCACAGCTTGCCAAGCTCCCGCCACGCTGGGCCAGGGCTGCCACCTGCAGTGCCAGGGCTGGGGCTGGATACAGAGACCCAGGCGGCGTGAGAGGCTCTCTGGAGCATTGGAGACGTTTCGCTAAACAAGACTGAGTGCCAGAACATAAGAGAGTTACCTGTGATGTGTCGGGCTTGGGCCCCACCTAGTGGGATGCCCAGAATATCCCTGTGCCCTGCATCCCAGCCCCTGATCCCAGGGTTCCCATGCTCCAACTCTGCTTCCCATAATCCCCAGCCTGCAAGGTAAAGAACCCTGCACACACCTTCCAGAGAAGCCAGGAACCGTAGAGAGGAACGACTGGCCCTGGAAGAAGATACAGGGTTTTTTCCCCATAGATTCTAAGGCCGGAAGGGACCACTGTGATCATCTAGTCTGATCTCCTGTATAGCACAGGCCAGAGACCTGCCCCATCATAGTTCCTAGGGCACATCTTGTAGAAGAACATCCAGTCTTGACTGAAAAATTGACAATGATGGAGAATCTACCACGACCCTTGGTAAATTGTTCCAATGGGTAATGACTCTCACTGATAAAAATGTACACCTTATTTTCAATATGAATTTGTCTAGCTTCAATTTCCATCCATTGGATGGTGTTAGACCTTTCTCTGCTAGATAGAAGAGCCCACTATTAAATATTTGTTCCCCATGTAGATACTTATAGACTGTGATCAAGTCATCCCTTGGCTAAGCTAATCAGTTTGAGCTCCTTCCATCTATCACTAGAAGGCAGGTTTCTAATTCTGTAATCATTCTCCCGGCTCTTCTCTAACCCCTCTCCAATTTATCAACATCCTCCTTGAATTGCGGGCACCAGAACTGGACCCAGGATCCCAACAGCAGTCACACCAGTGCCAAACACAGAGGCAAAATAACCCCTCTGCTCCTACCTGAGATTTCCATTTCTGCATCCAAGAAGGACATTAGTCCTTTTGGCCACAGCATCATGCTGGGAGCTCATGTTCAGCGGATTATCCATCACACCCTCCAGATCTTTTTCAGTCACTGTTTCCCAGGATAGAGGCCCCATCACATAAATATGACCCACATTCTTTGCTCCCAGATGTATCTATTTACATTTAGCCCTATTAAATGCATATTGTTTGCTAGCATCCAATTTACCAAGCAACCCAGATTCCTCTGTATCAGTGACCTGTCCTCTCTTATTTACCACTCCCCCAACGTGTGTGTCATCTGCAAACTTGATCCATGATGATTTTATGTTTTCTTCCAGGTTATTGATAACGATGATAAATAGTGTAGGGCCAAGGGCCACGAACCAATCCCTGAGGGACCCTATTAGAAACACACCCAACTGATGACGATTCCCCCGTTTACAGTTACTTTTTCAGACCTATCATTTGGCCAGCTTTTAATTCATTCAATGTGTGCCATATTATTTTATAGCTTTCTAATCCAAAGGTCGTGTGATGTGAAGTCAAACACCTTAGGGAAGTCTAAGCACGTTAACATCAACACTGGCACCTTCATCAACCAAATTTATGATCTTATAAAAAAAAAAGATATCAAGCTAGTATGACAGGGATCTATTTCCCATAAACCCATGTTATATTACCCGGTGAGCAATCCCCAGCCCTCGCCAGTGTCAGTGAATCGTAACCTGGCTCTCCAGGCGGAAGCATGGGACAGCCCTGGCGTCACTCCATGCAGAATGACACACTCGTGTCAGAGCGTGCCACCTGTCTGTGGCGCTGGGAACAGGGCCAGGGGCACAGCTCGAGCTCCAGCATCTGCCTGCGACACAGGGCAAATCCTAGCTACCGGGGTTTGAAATACACTTGTGGCCCTTGGCCCTAGTTCTCTCCCTGAGGCCAGAGATGGCACATGCACCCACTATGGAGTGTGGGCAGCCGCGGGGTGGGCAGGCATAGCCGTACTGAGCAAAGTGCACCTCTGCCTTTCCCTACCCCACGCTAGACCCAGGAGCGGCTGCAGGTTCAAACAGGGAGGAAATTCTGGACCTGCCAACAACACAGCAAGGCCTCAGACTGCAGAGACCCGTGTAGAGGCTACCCCCATCTCCAGGGCATCTGGGGCACAGTGACCCAGGAGCAAACAGTGCCAAGCAGGCCCCCAGCCCAGGCTGCTCGGTACAGCGCAAAGGGGCAAAGGGGCAGAGCTCTGCCAGGGAGGAGGAGAGGGGCCTATGTCCCCAGCGCGCTTGCAGTTGCTGGAGCAACTTCACCCCAGTGGAACCAGGAGTGCGTCTGGGCTGCAGGAGACAGGCTGAGTAAGGGCAGCAGGTGAGAAAAGGCCTGTGTGTACAAGTGAGAGGGACCCAATGAACACGGAGCAGCAGTTTCCATCGCCAGCCAGGCAGTTCCCCGAATGCAGCTCCCTCCCCTGGTTCCCTACCCGAGCACTGCGGGCGAAGGCAACAGTCGAGTTTGCCCCACATGTCACCAGGCAGCGCTGACTGACCATGTCCCCAATAAAAATTGCTGACGAAGTTGCCCTGATTTATTAAGTTAGTGGTAATTTGTCTTATGAATTAAAGGAGTAAATGAGATGGGTTTGTTTCAAAATCATAATGCGCTGTTACAGGGCTGCTTGTTAGACAAGTATTCAACAGTCTCTGTGCTGTTTCCTCTAATTGCTTAGTAGACGGATGTATCATTGTTCTTTGTATGAGTGAGGTATGCAAGGGTGTGAGTAAATAAGAGAGGCCAGCTGAGCAGATGGGCCTAATCGCAAAAAGAAGGGAGTGAGAAAATAAGATGCCAGTCCCGGTGTATTGCCTTATTCCCTTTTTAAAAAGATTTGGTGTGCTTCCTGTAAGCATAACAACCAGGGCTACCCATGGAATGGGGTTCCCTCATTGCCGCACCATCCTGGTACATCGCAATGCAGCGTATCGGTCCATGGGGCCCTGTGACGAAGTGGGAATGTTCTTAATGTTTTCTCTGAATCCTGCGTGTGCCTCAGTTTCCCCTATGTATTACTCAAGTATCTGTGGTGGGATAAGGGGGTGTGATCCTTGCAGAGACCCCAAGAGAGCAGGTGTGATGCTGACTGGCTGCCTGGGCACAGAGAATGGCCAACACTGTGTATCCCGGCAACTAATGGCCCGCCCCCTCCTCTGCAAGGAGCCAGCGGAAGGTGTTGGAGAACAAAAAGACCAGGTGACCTGGCTGCCCTGGAAAGAGACAAAGGATGAAGGCGGGGCAGCGGGGCATGACTGAGGCTGGGCTGGTGGAAACTGGTCAGTCTGATTTCTGTGCTAAAAAGATCTGTTCTACGCTGTGTTCCCATCAACTAATAAACCTTCTGTTTTACAACACTGGCTGAGTGTCACTGCTGACTGTGACATTGGGAACACCTGGTCCAAAAGGGACCTGGGAAGCTCTGGTCAGCACCTCCAACCGGGCTGTTAAAAGTCCGTTTGGTGCTGCTATGGTGCGAAGGCAGACCAGTCCCAACCTCCAGCTTCGGCTCTGTGCTGCACCCTGGAAGGGTCCAGCAGGTCTGGCTCATAGGTGTGGGAGCCACGAGGCTGTCCCTGCCCTGAGCACCGGCTCCGCACTCCCATTGGCCAGTTCCCGGAGTGGGGAAGGCAGCGAAGCAGTGAACAATCCCAGAAGATGGCAAAGAGGGCAGAAGACCAGAGGAAAGGGCTCATGGGACCAGACAGGCACGAGCGACAGATGGACGGGGGACCAAGGTGGAGGGCCAGGCAGGGGTGAACAGGGACGTGCCAGAAAGGACACTGGAAGTGACCCAGACAGACCCGTTTGCTGGAGGACACGGGGCTCTCTGATCTGGCCCCAGCCCCCAAAACAAGCCAGGTGCTACAAAGCGCAGTGGGTACCAGGTGCCCTGGTCACTCCCACAACCGCACAGGGCAGACAGTGCCCCCCATCCAACGCCGCAAGGACAATTAGAACCCAAACACCCCCATGTTGTGGCATGTTGCTGCTCTGAAGGCGGCACGCTCCCAGCCATTGGCTGAACAGAGCTGGCTGGGAGGGCAGGAGAGAGCAAATTCTCTTCTTCCTTTTTGCCAGAGCATCGGTCACGCCAACGGTGCAGGAGGCATCACGGGAGCAGCAGGAGAGCGCTGGTTCTCTGCACAGCTTGGATCTGACCCAGTGAAATAGCTGACGATGCTGCTCTTTCAGCCTGCGTCCGCTTGGTTCCCACTCAAGAGGCGCCCGCTCTGCCTGAACCTCAAGGGCGATCTGTGCAAACGAGACCGCTCGAGGAGCCCTAGTCACTGCCTGTGTTGGCATGCGGTCCCATTTCCTGAAAAGCTAGGGCCAACGCTTTGGAAACAGAGAACGCGAGCAGACGGCGCTTCCCTGGAGGAACATATGCTGGGGCGCTTGCCAAGAAGAGAATTCCCCCTCTAGGTCCCATCCTTGCACCCCCGCTGCATCTCGCCAGCGCTAGTACAAAACAATTTCCCCTCCCAGGAGCAGCTCAACTGTTCCCAATCTGGGGGGGGCCAGGAAGCCACCTGACTGCAGTGCAGTGAGGAGGGCTGGAATATACTCTGGTGCGCAGGCCCAGCATGTGATGAGCACTGTCCATAAGGGGGTCTCACACCCACTGGCCTCTCCTGAACCCTGCTCTCAAACTATGAGCCTCCCTGACCCTTGTTCCTGGGGGTCTGGTGGCCCCTCTTCTGGCTGTTCAGAAGGAGCAGGAGGGTCCATCCACCTCCAACCCCAGCCAGCAGTGGCCCGTGACTGTGGGACTCAGGGTCAAACTGCCATTATTCCTCCTGCTGCACCTCGTCCTTCAGTCTCTGCTGAGCACCCGTCCCTCGCCAGTCCAAAGGAGATGCTGCCACTGCCAGCGGGGCAGCATCGGGTGGGACACACCCAGTGCCAGTCACACAAGGCAGATCTCTCGGAGGTCTCCAGCTGTGACGAGACACCTTCACTTTCCTTTCAGATACCTCTCCCTCGCCGGCAATTCTGCAGCTCTGCAGGTCCCTTCACAGCGCCTTCTCCTGGCCACACGAGGGGCCCTATCCGGTGGAAGCGACCACAGCTGGAACCACGACACCATTAATGTCCATGGGAACGTCCACTGCCCTTTCTCATGGCATGAAGCGGGTGAGTTTCTGAGCTCCTGGCATCAGGGGCCAAATGCATGTTAATGACCCTGCCCAGGCAACCTGCCACGCCTGGTAGGACATGGAGCAACACCCCTTTCTGTAAATGAACTCCAAAGCCTGGAGGGGGAGAAAATAACATGCATCTGGGTCCCAGCAATGGCCCCGTGTGACACTTGTCAGGGTTACTTCAGATCTGAGGTGAACTGCTACCATCTGCTCATAGCAGGAGGGAGCCCGTCTGTGCCCCCCACAAGGAAACTCTCCCCAGCCATTGGCTGTGGTCAACACAGGCACTTCTCTCCAGGCTCTGCGAACCCCGACTCTTTCTGTCTGCAGGCTAGCAATATACACCTGCTCCCGCTCTGTTACACTCGCGTGGCCAGTCCCCCTTCTTCTGGACGCCCGCAAGGTACACCGACCCGCTGTCTCCGCAGAAGCAGTGCACCCCACTTCACCAACTTCAGCTCAGTTCAACGTCTCCTCAGCATGAGGGACTCAGACAAGTCTCTAGTGACATTTGCTTAAGAGAGCTCCAAGTGCAGATTCAAAATAAAGGCGAGGAAAAGATCTGGACAAATCAGGTTCCAAGTAAAAGAAAAATGTAAGACACACACTAGCGCCTCCTCTTATTAACAAGTTCCTTTCCTGTATACTCCGGGATTTCTCACCCCAAACGGTTCTAAACAGCGCTTGTCCGGCGAGGAGGCTGGGAGCCACCGTTCCTGAGATGGCCCTTGCTGCCACAGTCACCTCAATGGATACCGCCTTGTGCTCTTTGTCTCCTCTGACACAGTGACGGACCATTGTCCTTCAACCCGAGGTCGACTGGGGAGATATTCTACGTTACGTACCTCTAAAATTGTTGTAGCTTTCAGCAGAGATCCCACCCAGCCCCTTCAGTCACACACTGAAAACACAGCTAGATCCGGGGGTAATATACCCGCCTGGGCAGGTCTGTGTCACTCCCCTACACATGTTGGGAACCCCAAGAGCTCACAGCTGCCACCCTCCTGTGCATTGCTTGCACAGCAGCCCACGCTCCCCACCAGCAGCCCCGATACCTGTTTTACCAACATCAAAGCAATTGGCTACTGACCAGGAGCAACTGGGAGCTGGGGCTTCATCACGGTAACAGCCATGCGCAGCCCCTCACAGAGGAGGACCCTTGTGTTGATGCCTGGAGCTGCAGCTCCGAGGCGGCGTGGGGTGGGGTGGGGCGGGGCAAGGGACACTGCACAGCACAGCCGTGCAGGGCAGTGGCCTTCTGCAGCCCCTGCTGCTCATCCCAGCTCTGCCCCATGAGCCCTCCCCGTCCCGCCCCTGCTGCTCATCCCAGCTCTGCCCCCATGAGCCCTCCCCGTCCCGCCCCTGCTACTCATCCCAGCTCTGCCCCATGAGCCTGCCACGCCCGCCCCTACTTGTCACCCAGGCCAAGAAACATTGCTCCACCAACTGCAGCTGGTCTAGGAATATATCAAGGAGCATCTGCCTGGGTGCATGTGTCTCCCCTGGGGGTAGATGCCTGGGGTGGCACCGTCATGGTGATCGACAATCTCACCCTATGCCACCCAGCTACAGATTGGCAGGAGTCAGCATCCCAGTGCCCAGCAGAGACTCCTGTGTGCTGCTTGCAGCTGTTTGAACATGGCCTGGGCTGCTGGGAACCAGAAGAATGATGGGATGCAGCAGGAGGAACAATGGGAGTTTGTCTCAGAGTCCCAGACAGCGCCGGCAAGCACCCCCGAACGTGTGAAAACCACCCAGAACGCACAGCCTGGAAGCAGCCTCCTGCTCCCCCCCACTCCGAGTGCCCTGTGCCCCTATCAAACCAGCACCGCACTGCATGGACACAGCAGTCCCTGTGCAGAGTAGCTGAGCAGGGCATGCCTGGCAGCACAGGCTCTGCCCATCAGGCTAGTTATAGCCATGATAGGAAAGCCGTGCGCTAGACCAGTGCAGCCCTCGCTGCACAGCCAGGCCTACGTCCCTGCAGCGAGGGCCAAAGTCTATGCAATGCCAAGGACCCTTCTCCCCTACAGCCCAGCACAGGCCCTTGTCCCAGGCTGCGTGAAGAGAGGTCAGCGGGGACAGCCTGCAGCCAGCAAAGCTCAGCAGCACTGCTCCAGTGTTACAAAACACTGCCCTTACCGGCCATCATCTTCTGGGCCTCATAGGGCTCCATGTACCCATCGTTTTCTGCCACCTTCTCCTGCCCTGGCTGGCAGCTGGCTGCTTGCTTGGCATCGAAGGGATCCGCATAGTCCTCGAGGACAATCACCTGCCAGCAGGGAGAAGACAAGAAGGGTTAGAGACCAGGACCCTGCAACAGCCTGCTCCACTCTACCTAGCATGGACACTCCCCAAGGAGAGGCCAGGTGGGGTTTACCCTCAGGCTGGGTAAACTCTCTACGCCTGCACAGGTCACAGAATACACTCATAGGCCACTGGTCAGCAAGCTGCTGAAATGTCCAAGTCAGTTCCGGGCAGCTAGGCAGCTGCCCTCTCCTGCTCCATTCCAGCTGCCTGGCATTTCTCTGTTGAAGATCGCAACCTGCCCCTCCCTCTCAAGCCCACAGGGTCTCCTGACCGCCATGGGAACCGAGCAGGGTGGGGCAGTATGTGCAGTGTAGGATGAGAGATGCTGCCAGCAGTGGTTCATACCAGCCCTGCTGACGGTACATGGGATCAGGCAGCTAGCTGCCGGGGGAGGGCCCCTGGGAAGGGGGAGGGATAGGGGCTGGCCTCTAAATGGTCAGTATCCAGCAGAGTGAACCTCCTCCCTGCAGTATCTCAGTGCCCACAGGGGGATGGGGACAGAGGAAAAGCCTTGGAACATCCTGTCTCCTGAACATTAATGTGTATGTCTCTCTCCATCCCTGCAAATCCAGCGAGCTTCTACCCAAGGGCTTGGGTCGCTCCCACTGGCTCTGCCGCCCCTGTGCCAGTGATGTGGGGAGCCGTGCTTGAAAGAGGCCCTGGCTCACACCACTAGCCACGATCCTGGCCCCAAGGAAGTCACTGGCCAAATGCCCAGAGTGTCCCTAAGCCCTACTTGGAGCAGACTGAACCTCTGCCCAGCAAGGAGTGAGCTGGTGAATGAAAGGTGGTAGGGGGCCTGGGCAGGGATGCATGGCCTGGAGAATGGCCAGCAAAGTGCTCAGCGCATCAGGGAGCTAACAGGTCACAGATGAGGAACCGTTGAGAACACAGGTACATTTGTGGGCAGAATACGCCTATCACCCACTGATCTGGGCAAATGGGGCGCTCCCACCTGTCTCTGGCTCTGAGCCAGGAGCCGGGCTGGCTCCATGAACCAAGCGGCAGGGCAGATCAGGACACCTTGTAGCCAGACTGCATTCCCAGATGCCAGCCAGAGGCCCCACCCATGGGAACCATCCAGTCTTTGTCCCTCAGCATTCGGACTTGGGAGTCCAAACAGATTAAGGCGCTTTTATTAATCAGATGCTCACTAATGATACAACTGTCAATCATACAGCACCAGCACTGGGCTTTCCCGAGCACACTCGCTACAGCGCTTACCTGCCTGGGGGTGCACAAGGCTGGGTTACTGACTGACCTACCATGGGGGGCTGCAGCACCAGGAGCTGGGCAAGTTGCTTCCCAGGGACTACCCAGAGTTATTATGTGCAAGTTTGGAAAGATACATATGCAAACGCACCTTGCTGCTGCCCCACAACTGACACAGAGCACACTCCTCTTGCACACACTGTGGGACAGGCAGCTCCAAAACAAGAATACTGTAAACACCGGTTAGGAGACGTGGCAGGTCAACAATGTTCTCACTGGGTATTTTCTAGGGCTCCCTCCAGATCAGCTATGAATATCCCAGCATTTGCACCATTTTGGGATAAGTAGGTATGAATAGGCCTCATGACAAAGGCAGCAGAGCCCATGAATGTGTTTTTATTTGCGTCCCTGGGCAGCAAGAAGGTGGGAGATGTGGGAGCTCCCAGACCCCGAGTTCTGGATAACACAGACCAGAGAAGAAAAGGAGTACTTGTGGCACCTTAGAGACTAACCAATTTATTTGAGCATGAGCTTTCGTGAGCTACAGCTCACTTCATCAGATGTATACCGTGGAAACTGCAGCAGACTTTATATACACACAGAGAATATGAAACAATACCTCCTCCCACCCCACTGTCCTGCTGGTAATAGCTTATCTAAAGTGATCATCAGGTGGGCCATTTCCAGCACAAATCCAGGTTTTCTCACCCTCCACCCCCCCACACAAATTCACTCTCCTGCTGGTGCTAGCCCATCCAAAGTGACAACTCTTTACATAATCAAGTCGGGCTATTTCCTGCATAAATCCAGGTTTTCTCACATCCCCCCCACCCCCATACACACACAAACTCACTCTCCTGCTGGTAATAGCTCATCTAAACTGACCACTCTCCAAGTTTAAATCCAAGTTAAACCAGAACATCTGGGGGGGGGGTAGGAAAAAACAAGAGGAAACAGGCTACCTTGCATAATGACTTAGCCACTCCCAGTCTCTATTTAAGCCTAAATTAATAGTATCCAATTTGCAAATGAATTCCAATTCAGCAGTTTCTCGCTGGAGACTGGATTTGAAGTTTTTTTGTTTTAAGATAGCGACCTTCATGTCTGTGATTGCGTGACCAGAGAGATTGAAGTGTTCTCCGACTGGTTTATGAATGTTATAATTCTTGACATCTGATTTGTGTCCATTTATTCTTTTACGTAGAGACTGTCCAGTTTGACCAATGTAAATGGCAGAGGGGCATTGCTGGCACATGATGGCATATATCACATTGGTGGATGTGCAGGTGAACGAGCCTCTGATAGTGTGGCTGATGTTATTAGGTCCTGTGATGGTGTCCCCTGAATAGATATGTGGGCACAATTGGCAACGGGCTTTGTTGCAAGGATAAGTTCCTGGGTTAGTGGTTCTGTTGTGTGGTATGTGGTTGTTGGTGAGTATTTGCTTCAGGTTGCGGGGCTGTCTGTAGGCAAGGACTGGCCTGTCTCCCAAGACTTGTGAGAGTGTTGGGTCATCCTTTAGGATAGGTTGTAGATCCTTAATAATGCGTTGGAGGGGTTTTAGTTGGGGGCTGAAGGTGACCGCTAGTGGCGTTCTGTTATTTTCTTTGTTAGGCCTGTCCTGTAGTAGGTAACTTCTGGGAACTCTTCTGGCTCTATCAATCTGTTTCTTTACTTCTGCAGGTGGGTATTGTAGTTGTAAGAAAGCTTGACAGAGATCTTGTAGGTGTTTGTCTCTGTCTGAGGGGTTGGAGCAAATGCGGTTGTATCGCAGAGCTTGGCTGTAGACGATGGATCGTGTGGTGTGGTCAGGGTGAAAGCTGGAGGCATGCAGGTAGGAATAGCGGTCAGTAGGTTTCCGGTATAGGGTGGTGTTTATGTGGCCATTGTTTATTAGCACTGTAGTGTCCAGGAAGTGGATCTCTTGTGTGGACTGGACCAGGCTGAGGTTGGTGGTGGGATGGAAATTGTTGAAATCGTGGTGGAATTCCTCAAGGGCTTCTTTTCCATGGGTCCAGATGATGAAGATGTCATCAATATAGCGCAAGTAGAGTAGGGGCTTTAGGGGACGAGAGCTGAGGAAGCGTTGTTCTAACTCAGCCATAAAAATGAGGTATTCACAAAGACAGTCCGAGAGTTTTATCAGCAACAGAAGAGATGGCGAGACACCCAGGAGCCAAATTACAGGGACAGAGCCAAAGAACCAGATAGACAGAGCTTGGCCAAAGAGCACTACTAGCAGCACCTGAAGGGCAAAAACAGCCAAGCGATAGGGTAATTACAAGGGGGTTAACTGGGACTAATGGGACGGATCTGAAGCTGGGAACCTTTAGACTAATTAGCAAGGGGCGCTCTGTGCCAGAAGGCTGCAGACAAACTGCTCTAGGCAAGTAATGGAAGCCCCAAGGCTTGGGATTCTTAAACTCAGACAAGCCAGTGTGCTGTGAGGCCGGATTCTGCCCTGGGCTCTGGCCAGCTCAGGAATCACCTGCTACTCACAGCAGGCACCACCACTAGCCCCTCAGGCAGCTGTGAAACACGGCCAGCCACCGCTCGTCGCTTGCACAACAAAACCAAGAGCTGCCAAGCCCAGGCAGAGCTGAGGGCGTGGGGGCCACAAGCCTCGCTCCTGGATGCAGAGACAGGGGAGATGCTATGTTAGTGTGAGGAAGGGGACAGGAGCCTGAGCCCCAGCATTATTCCTGGCTGGGGCTGAAAGCCCTGGCTGTCCCCTCCGCTCTCCTACAGGCGAGGCTCTCGCAGAGCTCCGCTGAACACTGCACCTGATGGGAGGGACGCTGCACAGAGCAGACAGAGGAATCCGTGCCTTGGCACATGCAGCCTGGGTTGGGGCAGGGAAACCCCGAGCAGAATGAGGGGCTGCAGACATGCGGTTCTGCTCCAGACACTGCAGGCTGCAGACCCCCCATCTCCCTCTCCTCACAGGCTGGCAGAACCCGCCGCCCAGCACACACAAGACAGGATCCCCCCTGCCAAGATCTGTCGGCAAACTGCTGCATGGAACAACAGGCCCACTGGGAACTCCCCCGCCACAGAGGCCTTTGCCAAGAGACAGACCTGGGGGGGGGGCTACAGGGTGGAGGGCAGGGCCCAGGCCCTGTGCCCTAAGGACCACAGGGGCAGGCACAGCCAAGAAGCGAGTTGGAGCAGCCCTGGATGGGAAGGCGGATTCGTCCGCTTAGCCCCTGCACATGGGGCCTGAGCAGCAGCCAGACCCTCTTGGGCTATAGCCTCAGTGGGTGTGGCTGAGCCCAGAGCAGAATCCAATATCTGTGGCGCATCCAGACTGGCACTGAAAATGGTGTTAGGCAACTCAACTACACCCCTCCGCCAAACTCTAGCCTAGCCAGGCTGAAGCCAAGCCCTGACAATGAACTGGGCTGGGCTGTGGAATCACCACCACCACCACCACCCTGCCGCCCAGGAAAAGGTTGAAGCCCCCACCCAGGTCCCCAGCACAGGAGACCTGCAGTGACACACTGTAAGGACCAGGCCTGCCCAGGACCCAGGGTGGGAGCTGATGGGTCTATTCCAACTCTGGTTCTTCAGCCCGTATCCACCCTGGGCTGGCAGTGCCAGCCAGTGCCCCCAGACTTGGCGCGCAGTCCCCCCTCCTCAGACACCTGACACTGGGATCTCCCATCGTCCCAGGCAGAGGCTGGATACAGGGGTCACACCTGTCCACACACGATGCTGCATTGGCTCGTTCCAGGGCTGAGCACAGGCCAG